TGTGCCTTTTCTTTAAAAGGAGGAGGAGGAGGAGGAAAGAAGGAAAGAAACATTTAATAGGAATATTAAAACTAACCTTGGATGAATGCAAGGGCCAAAAGAAGGGAAGACGTGCCACGGCATAAGAACGCTGGCAGGAAAAAGCAGATGCTTATGGCTAGCACAACAAAAAAAATGGATACTGGCCTTCACTAAGTGGCACCTACTTCCCCTTCACTTCAGAGTTGGGAATGAAAAGACTATGAGGAGCATTAGTCATTGGTGGGCATGCCAATGGCTGTGAGGGCTTGGCAGTTAGCCATGGGCCACTAGGTATACTTACCCATCGATTTATGGCGAAATTGTGACATCAATTTATGGCTAAAAAGAAGGCATTGCTTTGCTGAACTAAATACGATGACTATTTGGAGACGAGAGGCTGAATGTCAGGGGAATAGTACTTATATCTACTCTGGAGCAAATGTCAGTTAGATCTCTATGAGTTTGAGGCCAGCCTGGTCTACATAGCAAGTTCCAGGCCAGCCAAGGTTATGCAATAAAACTCTGTCTCAAAAAGAAAAATAATAATAATAGTTTACAACCCAAAAATCAGTTTTGCCTTGCCCTTATAAACATTGACCCCCATGAGAATTTGCAGAGTTGTGAATTTGTATAGCTATGATTATTGGTCGTTTGAGTGTTTCAGTTTACCCAGAAGCTGGAGAGCCATTGTTGAGTCACCAACCCTGGAGGCTGAGCATTGTCTTTCCCCAGAATGCACAGATCCATCACCTCTTGGTGTCACCTAGGGCTTGAGGGAAGCTCTTATGACTGTCTGTTTAAGGTTGTCATTTTAAAGACTAACTACAAATATGCTCTTCCTCAAACCAACGCATTCAAGGGAGATGAACTTGCCCAGTAGACCAAAGCAAGGGACACTCTGTAAAATGCTGTGTTATGAATCTGAACATGGAATCAGCTACTGGGTAGAAACTGTTGCACTTGAGAGAAACAGAGAGAGATTTCAGAATACATGGAAGGTGCTATATGTGATGGCTCTCGCCTTAGAAGCCTTAAGTTCCAGCAATCTAATTATGCATCGAATCCACCCCATTCCAGACCACATAGAAATGCAAATCAAAGTGTCCAGACCTTAGAGTGTTGCTGGCGATACAATTGCCCCCCTAAGAAGCACAGTACAATCCGTTTTCTCTCTCCAGATGCATCGTCCAGACTTTCACATCTCAAGCACGCCCGCTACCCACTAACATATCCACAACGAAAAGCAAACATTGAAGCGCCAGAATCCAAGAAGGCAGAGAAACATCTTCCCCTCTGTGCACAGAGTGGGATGTGGGCATCTGCCTGAGCCCCTGGGGAGCGGCCCTGGGTCACCCACTGAGCACAAGAGAGCCTCTCCAAGTTCAAGTTCAAGGCTGCCCAGGCTATGGCTGCCAGTCAACACAGGGGTCAAGGCACCAGAACTGCTGATTTTTCCAAAAGCCTTCTCAAAGCAGCAGCAACCGCAGCAGCTTTCCTGCAAAGCAAACAAAATACCAATCTTGTTAATTCAGCAGGACTTTAAAATTGTAATTAGCTGGTTGTGCCCCGTAGGAAAACCACAGATGACTTTTCATAATGTATGTGTGTACGTGCGTGAGACAGAAAGAAACCGTTTGACAGACTCCACTGCACACCACGGCTGCTTTTTTTTTTTAAGTCCCTGTGAGTATTTTAACATTATTTGCAATATTGAAGGACAAAGCTCTCTTTGTTTCATCTGAAGCACAGCCACTCCTGTGCTGTTCTCATCAGTCAGTCCATGGTCAACCCGACTTCAGCATCAAAGTGAGCATTTGGGCTAGGCAGGGAATTTGCTCGCCCATCATATCGTGTGTGTGTGTGTGTGTGTGTGTGTGTGTGTGTGTGTGTGTGTATGTGTGTTGGGGGGGAGGGTGTTCCACCAACCCTCCCACATTTGCCAGAATCCACAGAAGCCAAAGTTCCTTATATAAAGTAGCACAAAATTTGTGTGAAACCTACATATGAATCCCCACATGTTTAAAATCATCTCTCAGTGACTAATGGTGGCAGCAGTATAAAGCTGTGTGAATGATTGTTCCCCACTGTTTAGGAAACAGTGGGCACAGTTAGCACAGACACAGGTTTTTTTTTTTCCTCCCCAATATTTTCTATCTACAGTTGAACGTGTGGTCAGAGCCACACAAAGGTAAGGGCGTATTCCCACATCTGACTGAGGCACTGAGCAACATCACAGCCCTTATGCCTGAGAGATGAGAAAGGACCCAAACCCAAGGCTGAGAATGATGAACGGAGAGCTGCCAGGCTGCTTTTAAAATTGCTTCATTGGTGCATCAAGAAACCTCTAATGAATTGAAAAATATTTATGTGCCTCAATTTACATTGTGAGTTGCACCTTATTTATAGGACCTACATCTTTTTGTTTTCCACAAGAACAATCTTTAACCACCAGATTTTTTTTAAAGATTTATTTATTTATTATTTATACAGTATTCTGCCTGCAGGTGAGCCTGCACACCAGAAGAGGGCACCAGATCTTACTATAGATGCTTGTGAGCCACCGTGTGGTTGACGGGGAATTAAACCCAGGACCTTTGGAAGAACAGCCAGTGTTCTTAACCTCTGAGCCATCTCTCCAGCCCAAACCAACAGATTAGGAAAAAAAAAAATTATCTTAAATTTACTTTCACTCATAGGATCTTGCCAGAAACCTCATTCATCTTCTGAAAGTGGGCTTGCTCAGTGTTGACTCCTACCTCCACACACATGCTCCTCTTTCTTTCTGTGTGAGGCAGAGCACTGAACCCAGGGCTCCGAGAACACCGGGAAAGCACTATGCCAGTGAGCTGTAGCCTCTGCTCTCTTTTATAGATTTAAAATTTGAGACAGGCTTTAATAAGTTATCTGGCCTGACCTTGAAGTCATTCTACAGACCAGGCTGGTCTGGAGTTGGCTGTACCGAGTTAATACTTTAAATTTAACTTTTAATTCATGAATAGAGGCTTGATGCCCATTAAGCATGAGAATGGGTTCTACCTCTAGAGCTGAGAATAAAGAGAAAGCAAGCAAAAAATGAAGCAGGCAGATTGTGTTGATCTGAGACCATTCTTCTTGGCCTGCAAGGAGACCCATGAGCCAAGGAGATCTAGAGGAGCCTGGGGAATGGAGGCAGGCAGCCCACAAGACCTTCAGGAGGCAAACCTGTCTGAGCTCAGTAATTCCAGCAAAGAGTGTACCCAGCTGTACAGTATAACTAGCTCAGTGCTTCCGTTTCTGTCCCTGCAAGGACTGTGCTGTCTTCCATCACAGTGGGTTCAAAGTGACAGCTTTGGCATGGAAGGATTTTACCTCCTCCCACCACCATTTCCTCTTCATTCTTTCCCCCACAGACCCTGGCGACAGGCCTGCCTTGGAATGCAACCTCCTGTCACCCAGTGCATTCATTCCCACCAGGCTTAAAAATCACTCCAGCACTCTCTGTGGGAAGGTGGTTTGTGGCAAACCCTGGGGGTTTGTGGTGGCTGGGGACAAAACTGCTTCTAAAGGAAGAGTTTGGGGAGAGGAGAGGTGGGACCAGAACTGCCTGTTTGCTCTAGGGCCTTGGCTGTTCACAGCTCGCAGTGCAGGCTGTGGCTGAAAGCTGTCACTTAGGCCTGGGGCTCCCGTGGGCCCTAAAGTGAAGCCATCCTCTGCTTCCTCTCATTTTGTTGCCTTTACAATTTTTGACAAACAAGAATGTCCTGTGCACATGAATCCCAAACCTTCTCCTTGACTGTCCGTAGATTCTTAAATAAATGACAGACTCTTAGCCCAGACACGGAAGGCTATGCATTTTCCAAGCCCTGGTTTGAGCCTTTGACTATGGTGTGCTGATTTATTCCCTTTCCTTCAAGGCCACTGAAAAGAATATATCCTGGCAGATAGACCAGCGGAAACCCCTGGTCCAGAAAAATACAGATCAGAACAAAAGATTAAAACCAGTTAGAGTTGGAGTTCTGGCTCAGTGGTAGAGCACTTGTTTAGCATGCCTATGGATCTGGATTTGTCCCAGGCACCACAAAATGGGGGTTGGGGGGTAGTTGCCCATTTCAAAAACATAAGCCCTGTGCAGCTTTTAAAATTTAGCTGCAAGAATGAGCGTGTGCTTTCTCTCTAAGATTAGGGAGGTATCTCCTTCAAAAAGGGCTAAATTTTGAGACTTTAAGTCTCTCTTGGTTGGCTCCCTGTTGCTTTAAATCATTACTGGTATAAAAGAAGGAATACATTAAAGCCACCCCTTAATAATTCAACAAGAACTGAACACGGGGCCCAGAACCCATATCTGAATCTGTGTGGTATGGTGTTTCTTGGAGGCAGGAAGCAAAGCCAGGGTCAGAGGCAGCTGCTGTGTCGGGTAATGCAGGGTTTTGCTTCTAAAACAACAGGGCGTCTCACTCCACTGTTTTCAGGTGAAGGGTACATAGCCTCATTTTGTTCTCCCAGGTGTCACCCACTGCCTCTGACATTACACAACCGTAAGGGGTAACCCGAGACAGTTTCTATGTAATCTGGAGCCCACCTCGGCTAGGAAGTCTCAGGGCTCTGCCTGTGTTATCTCAGTGGTCCCACTCTGCAAGCTGAGGCATGGGACTATCTACAACCCACACAACAGGAAACTGTACTTCCTCCACTGGGACAAGGTAAAGTTGAGGTGAAGAAAACACAATAATCTGATTGGAGCCCACCAGCTCAAAGACTGCCTGTTTCCCTCAATATCTGTGCAAGAAATACCCGATTTCCCTCTAACTCCACTCACGTAAGCAATACACAGACACCACACAGCCAACAGTTCCAAGACACATTTCCACGATGATTGCAATCTGGTTTTCCTGGGGTGCAATCCCAGTTATCCCCCAAAACAAATGTAATTTTATTTGTTCCCATGGGAGGAGTTGGAGAAGGCTTGAAACCAACCTTTTGAATAAGGCTCCTTCTGTGAGTTATTTGGTCGTGAGGTTCTGAGCAGCAGAACTGCAGTTTTTCTAGAAAAACGAGAGACATTAGGGGAAGGGTTAGAACAGCTTTCATCAGCTTCTGACTTACAGTAAGAGAGCATGTGAAAAACTAATAATTTGCCGATGGGTTCATGGTCCTCTTCCGGAGACATCCAAGAGGATAAGGTTGCCAGCAGCCTTCTGACAGGCACACCTGTTCCTCATCCACTGTAACATCCTGCTGTCACTTCCCTTCCTTCCACAAAGCCAGGGTCAACCCACTTACTCCCTCATTGTGTTTAATTGGCAAATGCATGTTTGCTCAAAGCCCACTTGGGCAAAACAAAAGAGCCAGTGCTCGTGGCATTAGGGCTATGACTACTACAGAGCATGGCTACTTCTGGGTGAGCTCAGAGTAGCAGAGAAAGGGACGTTAAGAGGCATGGGAAGATTTAAGAAGACAGACAAGGCCTCAGATGGGGACTTTGCAGCCATTGTAAGGGAGGTGGTGTTGAACATTGACCTTAGTCAACAGGATTCTAGGTAATAAGCAGTGATAGGGTTTAGGGTGCATAAGAATAGCTGTAGCTGCTGGTGTGTTGTCTTGGTGTGCACAGTGGGAGAGATATGAAAACTTCCTGATCGGAGATTGTCATGATACAGTTCGGATCTTACCTGTCCCTTCCCCAGGCCCATATGCTAAATAAAGGCTTAGTCTCTAGCCTGTGGTGCTACTGGGAAATGATGGAACCTCTAATAGGTTACAGGGGGCATGACCTTGAAGAGAATGATAGGACCCTACCCTGTTCTTCTCTTCTTTCTCTTCCTGGCCACAAAGTGAACCCTCTTGTTTTATATCTCCACAGGCCCAATAGCAATGAGATTATAACTGTGATGTAAAATTAAAAAAAAAACAACCAAATCACAAGAACTTCATCATCTCTTATCTTTGTTATAATGATGGAAAAATGACTGACAGTCATTGTGGACATTGGCCTATGTGCTTTATCGTCCAATGGGACAACAACAGGATCTGTTAGATTTGAGACGAGGAGGAAGGGGACAAGGAAGTTTTCTTCTAGGCGAAAAAAAGCCGCATCATCCTTGTTTACATTTATTCCTTCTGGCTCCAGAGCACCAAGGGATTTTGTAGGAGGTACCTACTGAGTTCTGATAGTTAAGAGGGCTGTTTCTGATGGGAATTTGTTGTGTAAGGTCAGGGACATAAGACAGAGCAGAATTACTGTGTGTCATTTAGAGCCTATGCTAAGAGGCAGAGAACTTCTAGGCCTCCATTTCGAAGAAAGAGAAACATGTTTCTTAAAAGAATATGGCATGGTCAACTGATCAAAAGCGAATTAAGAGCTTTCAAATATAAAACAATTAAAAGGGATAAATAAAACACAAAATACTTTAAAATAAAAGTTAGGTCAAAATGATAGTTTTGGATCAGAATTAGAAATTTATTTTAAGCAAACGTAATTTTTTATTTTTGAGAACATATAAAATAGATTACTTCAAAAGTAAACCTGCAAAATATTAGTCTCAACAGGTTTCGTATCCCTAATCCAAAAAATCTGAAATTTAAAATGCTTCAAAATCTGAAACTTTTTGAGTTCCAAAACCACAACTCATAAATACAAAAGCCCATACCTGACCTTGTGGTCCAAGTAACAGTCCAAAAATGCAGGCACGCTGAAAACCCTGCACTGTTTCCTGAAGACTGTAAGCATAATGTGTATATGAAACAAGGGCAGGCCATGCCAAGATTGGCTCCCATTCTTAAGCGTTCTCATTGTCTATGCAAATATTTCAAAATCTGGAGAGAGCCAAAATCTCCTCTAGCCCAGAGCGCTGTGGATAAGGGATGCTCAGCCTCTGTTTCATTGGAAAATAAAATGTACTGGTTGGATATAGGCACCCAGGAGCACTAACCATATATCGGATTGGAGTGGGTCTAGAAACTTGCTCCAAGCCCTTCCCACCCATCAGGAGAGTGATAAAGCTTTTCCCAGACACCAGCACTTCTCTGTCCCCGCTTCAGCGTTCTCATCTACGAAATGGGGGTAGTAATAATGCCAGGCTTATAAGGTCAGCATGAGAGTTATACGTGTCAATCTTCGTAAAGCAGCTGGATTCAGTGCCACGTGAGTATAACTTTAATAATGACAGATTCGTGCAGAGATCTTAAAATTATTTTCTTGTGATATCTATTGGCCTCGGGTAGCACCGGCTGGGTGGCATAACGAAAAGGTGATTTATGTAGTTGTGATCACATGGTTTAAAATACTTTTAAACACTTTTTAGCCTGGATAGTGTCATTAATTCCTTGCTGTGGTTTCTATATTGTCCTGACATGTCAAAGTGTATTTAGACTCCTGGTTAAAAATACATCGGTGGAAAATGGGCTCAAAATAGATTGGTCTCCCTAATAAGCAGTTTATGCAGTCTGGGTGAGGTACTGGCTAGGTAATAAGTCTATTTTTATTTGGCATCAGTACCAATTATCAAGGAAAGGTATATTCAGACACAAATAAAACTCAGTACTGACGCTGAATTTAGATGTAGATTTAATTTCAATAAAATGTGGCTGTGGAAAAACTGAGAACCTGAGTTTGCTGGTCAGAAAGAAGTTCCTTTCCAAACCCCAGAAAGTGTATATGATGAAGAGAGCAGGAGAAAAAGCAAGTGTGGAGACTCTGTACTGTCCCAAGCATGGCACTAGCCACCCAGCCAATGCATGCATTAAAGATATTCTCATAAGCCAGAAGCAGAAGGTGGTGATGGCATACTGACCCCTGTTCATCTATCCTAGGTAAGCAGCCAAAGTGTTGAGTAAAGTTATTTAATGCAGAGCATCTGCCTTTGTGTTATCTCTATAATACATGGCTATATGGAAGGAAAAAGCACATGAGGCAGAAAAGGCAGTTAGAAGGCTATTGTAGCAATTTGGGGAGCAGGTGCCCCAGGCCAGGGAAACAAGGCATGAGAAGAGCTGGAGAGATTCCAAAACACCTAGAACATACAAGGTGCAGAACTTGGAGATTAGTGAAGTATGAGATGGGGGACTGAGACAAGAAGGAAACAGGAGATGCTCATGAGCTGATTGGTGCCACCTAACGGGCACTCTTTGCCGGAAGGATGGTTGAAAGTGGGGTGAGATGGAGATGACTTTGAGTTAGGGCTGAGAAGACCCAAGTGGAAATAGCTAGAATACCAGTAGACATGTGAATCTGAAGTTTAGAAATGAAATCTACACCACAAAGACAGACGAGGGAGTTGGAATACAAAGAATAAGGTGATGGGAGCAGAGAGATTCCCCCTAAGAGATTAGCTTAGTGTGAATTCAATTACACTCAATAAATACTTGTGTCTTTAGTCTCCAATAACAATCTCTTTCACATATGCTCAAACATATACTTACACCAAGCTGAGTATTATAACTAATATCTGGTGCTCAGAGGAGAAAAAAATATGCAAGGTGAATAGAGAATTTAGAATTCTAAATTTTGTTTTGGGGAGAGAGTTCTCCTAAATGTATATTAGCATATCTTCTCCAAACTTTACAAACCCCAAGCCATATATCTGTATATGTGTATGGGTTTTGTGGTGTGGCATATTTTACAACAGATGCAGTTATTTCATAATGCTAAAAACAATCTATGAAACGCATATAAAAATATAACAATAATATCTCAATAAAACACTTCAAGAAATTTATTTCTAGTACAAGATGTGAGGCTGTGAGCAAAGACATCAGGAGAAATCTCATTAAAGGCTGTAGCCTCTGATGAGACACACAGCGAGAAAGAAAGAGGAAAGAGGAAGCGCGGTCACCTGTGCACTCAGCCTTGAGTGGAGCTTGTGGTCTGATAACCAGGGGTGCTTGAGGGCTTCGCTGGCACTTATTCTCCAACTAAAGGGAAATTCAGAAGCATGTTAGAGGGACACACCAAACCACGCCTCCATCAGTAATCCGCCTCTGACTCAGGTCACAGGTTTTAGTATTGACCATCACCCTTAGTATGACCAGCGCCTCTAACAACATTGGTAACACAAGCAGGACACTCGTCAAATTCTTATTAGTAATTGAATGTTTTTTTTTTCAAATACAAGTAATTATTCTGTGATATGAACTCTTAAGTTGACCTCTTAACAAACCATTGAGAAACAAATGCACATTTCTTAGTTATAATAAAATGCTACAGTGATTTTCAATGAATTCAAAAGCCATTTATATTTGAATATGGCTGTTAACTTTTGAATGAAAGAGTTTTGAAGAGTTCAGAACCTGGAGAGTTACCACAATCATGCTAGAATATATTAGATTACCTTACAAAGAAACAATATTATTTTGGAGATGAAGAAAGGTTTACAAAATTTGAAAAAAAAAGTAACATAAAGAGTAATAAAAGTCATATTACAGCCTAACTCTAAAATTTCTAAGCTTACTTGGTGTGCTGATAAACATCCCATTGAACTAACCTTTCAAAATAAAAACCGAGTGCTGCAATATGAAATCTGCTTCTGCAGAACAGTTTCGAGCAGTCACGGAGCTTCAGTGTTGAGGATTACCTCACTACAATTGCTTTATTAGATGCCAAATATTAAAGTCTTCACTTGCAATGAAGTTATTGAGAAAAATCACCATGATAGGACCCAGAACATGAAGATGTTGTTAAAAACACCTCAGCCCCACCAGCCTCATAGGGTTCTTTTTAGTATCCTAAGGTTTTGCTGTTGGGTTCCTTGATCACTTTGTGGGGATGGTGCTGAGAGATGATTACTCCTCCACTCTCATGAAAAGTGTTTAAAAATCTATTTAAAGAGTTATTAAGATTGTACTCATAACTGACTTTTAATAATATTTCAGGTTCATTTTTGCACTCCACATCTTTATTTGATGACAGCGATATTTGGCCTGAGTTTCATCCAAGTGTTGGCTTACAGGCTCTTAGGTGCTCATCTGTCAAAATGTTATCTGATACTTCTTGTCTACTTAAGAGCCCCCAGACTGTAGGAGTGGGAAGGACTCAGCCGCCAGAGTCCAGCAAACCTGCTTCCGGATTTGCTTGGTCCTAGCCATGGGACTTCAAGGCTCTCAGCCACACTTTCCTTACATGAGACTGTGATAACTTTCTCCACACACGACAGGAGCATCCAGAAGTTAAAAATACGCAGATCCCACACTGACATTCACAGTGAATACAGTTTTTCATCCTCCACAGTCTAAAAAAGTTGGTATTTTTCCATCTCTGTGTTGTCTAGGATCCATAAATGTAAAACAATAACAACCTTGCCTGTTTTTGTGCCTAATAAAGGTCAAGGACAGAGAAATTAAGTTTCTAAACTGCTCCTCCCGCCACCACCGAGACTGAGGCTATGTTTCAGCCAAGTTATCCCTTCCTTTAGAGCGGCAGTTCTCAACCTGTGGGTCGCGGTCCCCTTGGTAAACTTCTGCCTCTGAAAATATTGACATTATGATTCATGACAGTAGCAAAATTACAGTCAGGAAGTAACAATGAAAAAAATTTTATAGTCGGGCCTAAATGCTACGACGACAATAAGTTAACTGCACTGGCTCTGAAGATGTCATGTAGTTTAGATAGAAAGCCATCTAAAGTGAATAATCAGTGTCCTTCCCACTCTATGACCCTAAACCCAAGCCCCTATATTTCAATATCACAGTTGTTCATCCACTAAAGTTTAAATTAATGTGTTTTTAGCATAAGAGGAAAATATAAGTCTGTATGACAGTGTAGAGTGTGAGCTTGAAGAAAGATCAGCTTACATTTAATGTCATTCCTGCCCCTTTCTAGCATAGGCTAACTACATACTATCTTGTTGTAAAACAGTCATAACAGAAACTTCTACCTCTTGGAGCTAAGGGCTGTGATTAAAAGAAATAATGTCCAAAAAGCAGATAACACTATTTGGCCCATAAATGTGTATAGACATGAAAGAACTAGGGCAGGTCACCTGATGCTGACCAGAAGGGCCTGATTGCTGCCACTTCATTACAGAATTCAGAAAGAGACAAGTTTTGCAGCCCCATCCAGCCTCGTGACTGAAACAGTCCTGGGCACGAGTAGACTGGGTCAAGGAGTCAAGCCTCATTGCCTTCAGAGCCTGCCCAACATCATGGTTGCCACTGAGGGAATGGGATCTACTAACTCCTTGGTTCACACTGCATTCGATCAGCCTGGTTCCTCCCACATGAGGTGCTCTTGGCGTACCTCTTCTCCTTAATCAGGAGCTTAGAGATGAACTCCTTGGCCTCCTCTGAGACGTCCTGAAATTCCTCGTCTTCTAAATCCCACCTGCATGCCAGGATATTGGTCAGCGTCTCTGCGTCATTATCGCCCAAAAAAGGTGACAAGCCACTGAGTCTACAAGACACAGGTTCAGGGTGAGTATATTTTTAAACAGTCTTGAACCCATTATGGGATGCTTTTGTCATTTAAATATAAAAGCAAGAAAACAGCACTAAACTATATGTATATAATCCATCATTGCATCCAGGACCATGCTTGTGTCTCTCATCCCGACTGCAACTGCAGCAAGGGAGTTTGAAGTTATACTTCAGTAAATCTCAAACAATAAAATAAATTTTCTTTTCAAGTATTTTACAGCTGGCAAGACAAACTACTGTCACAAACCTAGAAAGCAAACCCCAGAATGTCACTGCTCAGGCACAACCCAAGCAGATCTGTGTAAACTGATCTAAACAGACAGATACCCAGAATTTTTTTTTTTTTAAAAATTATGTTTAGGGGTCTTAGTGGTATCATGTGACCTAAGGTGACCTGTGGAGAAGACATACATGACTTTTTTTTTTTCAGATATAGTGGGGAGAGGAATTTACTTCTTTTGATTGTAAGACGCAACAGAACCTAAGCAATAGGAGATGACACATTGTTTTTCTAAATACCTAGATCAAGGCTTTCATTCTAGTGAAAGCTTCTAGAATATCACAGTTTGCGGATGAGTGTGTGAGAGACTGGGAAGTCACTTACAGCATATATGTGATGACGCCCACACTCCACATATCCGTAGGAAAGGAAACAAAATCATAGTTTACAACTTCAGGGGCAAGAAATTCTGGAGTTCCAAAGTTCACCTTTAGCTTCTCTCTGGGCTTATATCTGAAATTGAGGGTAAAAGGTTAGGGTAGGGCATGTCAATCAAAAATCCAAACTAATGAACTTTGAAAACAGGTACCGTTTAAAAGGTAAAACTAACTTCAGTTATACAGCAAACTAAAAATAAGTAAACCTTTGCCAGAAATTGCACGGTGTCAAAAACTGGTAAAAAACAAAAACAAAAACAAAAACAAACAAACAAAAAAAACCATCCTGGGGAGTTTAAAAGTAAAAATAAACCATAATACCTTAATATTTTCAAACAGTTGTGAGAGATCCACTCTGAAAAATTGGGACACATCTAAACACAGATTGTGACAAATACCCTGTTACAGTCCTTCACAGGCCCATGGCCAGCCAGGACAAGCCATTCCTAACTGACAAGATGCAATAATTCACAGTATCTGCTTATTGTGCATTAACACGCTGAGCTGTTACATGCTCATGTAAATTCTTTGTTCCCCCAAGAAACCAGACCCCGCTATAGTCTCATTTAAACTACCAACATTTTAAAAGTCTTCTCTTTATAAACAGAACAAATGTAAAAATTGAGATAAGCACAAATTCTGAATGACTGCCGTCTAAGTTAATGAAGTTCACTGGACTAAGACATTCTTTCTCATTTTTTAAAAATTACATGTGTCATAGAAATTTCTCGATGCTCAAATCTCAAATCTGACAGGGTTAGGGTAAACGCAATTTTCATTAAATTAATTCTAAATGAAGGCATGTTCATCTTTGCTTCCCATCTCTTACCTCTATCCCTGTACTTACATCCAAACAGACATACCTTCTGGCCAATCCAAAATCAATAATCTTTATTTGCTTAGCATCCCGATTCACACACAGGATGTTCTCAGGCTGCCAGGAGAAAGAGACACATTAGCAATGAAAACAACCATCTTTCACTCAAATTGTCCTTGAACCACAACTAAAAATACAAGATGCTCAGGAAAAACATATCAGGCCTTTCACTCGGGGCCTGGTTTGTCTGTGTGGGTATTTTCTCCTTTAATTATGTGGTGAATGAGGTTGTGGGTAGCCTGCCAACCTTGCATTACCCTGCCTGTCCCTCTCCATGTTTTTACAGATTGCCATAATGCATGAGTTCAGGCAGGGGCCTTCTCAAGGAGAGAAACAGGGAGGCTGTACCAGCACTTTCCAAACGGGCTGGTGGAGGCCAGCTCAGAACTGACAGAGCCCTCCTCCTGTTAAAGTATTAAGTACATTTCCTTCTTGGAGGAATATTTCCCCCAAGATTTACGAGTTCCAGGAGAAATGGCCCTGATGCAGTTAAACAGCCACACTGAATACGCAGTAGAATGCGTACATTTTTGACCTCTGGATCTTTCCCTTGTGCTTTGTCTATGGGAAAGTCGCAAGCTAAAGGAAGGCTTTTGTCTCCTACTCATTCTTCATCCTCCAAAATTCCAAGGTCTCACTGAGCTCAGTCTCAGTGCTTAAAGTCCTTGACTAAGTGTTCCCTTGGAATTAGATGCTAATAAAACTTGGCCCTGCTAATCTGACAGGCTTGGGGGAGGGGACAAAATCAAGCTATAGCACCACTACCCAGTGTCCCTGGAATGTCCTGCAGATGTAACTATATTTATTGGGAAAGAAAACTTTAAGTCTGGGAAAAATAAGTAATTTCATTTAAAGCCAAGGTCATCCATTAAAAAAAGAAGAAGAAGAAGAAGAAGAAGAAGAAGAAGAAGAAGAAGAAGAAGAAGAAGAAGAAGAAGAAGAAGAA